CATGGCTGACTGCAATTCGAGTCCCAGACCTGACCGCTTGAAAATCACACTGGGCACATGTCAGTACGAACCTGAAATTTTAAGAGGAGAATGGAGCAGAAGGGATTTCAGAGTGGCCATCACCCTGGGGAGTGGCTTTTCACTTTCCCTCTCATTGTCACTCTCTGTCTCTCTCCTGCAAGCACATGCATGTGGCAGCCCACCCAGGGCCAGTCAGCAAAGTGGTGGTGCAGGCAGCTGGATCCCACATGGCTGACGGTGTGGCTGAGTCTCAGACCCAGCAGCCTGAAAAACATGCCAGGTGCAAGTGTGTGTGTAGCCAAAATCCCAAAAGGAGAAATGGAGGAGAAGGGATTGAGGCATAGCCATTCCCCAGGGGTGGGCGGGGAGGTCAGGGAGTGTTTCTCACTCATTTTTCTCTTTCTGGTGAGCACAAATACCGTCTAGCAAAAGTAAAAAAAGAAAATGCCCACACGGGTCAATTAACTCAGATTCTTGTGTCCCCAAGTATGCAGTTTTTAAAGATGCTTTCCAGGTGATTAAAATGTAAGAGAGGAACTCCAAAAAGTCTGTGGAAAAATGGAATGAAAATAAAGGTTTATTATGGTGCAAACAAAAAAAGTGGAATCTATGTAGAGTATTTTCATAAAACATTTTTTCGTGAGCTTTTGGAAAACGCTTCTCATAGTCAGGAGGGAGAGCCAAGAATTATTGTATTGTTGGGAAAGTATGACACCTTTTTGCATAGAAAAACATAGAAAAGTACATCACAACTTTTCTGACAACCAAATAAGGCAATCTTTTGAGCTTTCTCTAAAACTATGTGTATCACTCCAACCTAGGAAGGGGTGGAGGCCGAAAAAGGTAAACTAAAGGTCTCCGCCTGCTACAGACTTCGTTTACGGTCCCCTCAACTCACATGACAGGCCTGCTCCCCAGTGTGATGGGATCTGGAGGTGGGGACTTCGGGCCGTGACCAGATTACGCGGACAGCAATCCCACCCCTCGCAGATGGGACTGCTGCCTACCAAGGCATCCCAGGCAGCTCCAACATCCTTTCCACCTCAGAAGGCCATAGAAGTCAGATGTCTATGTACCAAGAAGTGGGTCTTCACCAGACACCGAGTGCCAGTGCCTCAACCTCGGGCTTCCAGTCTCTCAGATCTCTGTGAGAGAGATCTGCTGTTAAGCTCACCCAGGCTACGGTAGTTTGTTCTAGCAGCCCAACTGAGCTAACACACCCCTCTGTTAAAACACACGTGTACATGAACCCCTCGAGCACAGGATGTTTTTCAGATGTACACGTGGGTATGCAGGTAGAGACGTCCCAAGGTCTGAAGCCAATCTGGCCAACTCCGGCTTGTACTTGACGCCACCACTGAAGGAAGTAGCAGTTAGTTCTCACTGGCACTGGGGTCAACTCAGAGCAGTGACAGCGAAGGGCTCCAGAAACATCCTGTGTGGTTGGCTGGCTTGTATCAGTCCTTTCCTGCCCACCCCCTCCTCTAGCTTACAGCCAAGTTTTAACTATCCCTGAAGCTCAGCAAGACAGTTTGTGGCTCTCTTGAGTACGCGACACACCTCTAGGCAGTAAGAGGGGCATGTCTGGTGTCTGAAATTCTTAATCTTAAGGTCTCGAGCAGGTACGTGCTATACCCACACCGTTTCTCAATCACGGTGCCCCAAACTAGTGATTTTCAAAGACAGCCTGCAAACAGCCCTTGATGGCTCAAGACTCCATGACCCATAGATTGGTCTAACAGTACACAGTCAGCGAATTTTCCATTGCATAATTATAACTGGCACTTCAAGGCACAAGAATGTACATTAACAAAATATGTTCATGGAGCCAACAGGTGGAGGGGCTATACTTCCACAGGGCTGACCAGGGTTCGAGTCCTAGACCTCACGGCTTGCTTTCTCACATTCCTTTTCTCTCTCTCTCTTCAGTCAAATTAAAAAATAAGTAAAATAAAATTAAAAATTCTTTTTTAAAAGAAAGGTCATAGGGGCCAGCAGGTGGCATGGTGGTTAAGGTGCTTGGACTCCCACATGGTCGACCATGTTTAGTCTTCAATCTGATGTCTTGCTTTCTCACTTTCTCTCTCCCTCTGTCTCTCTCCCTGGTGAGCAAGTGTGTACTTGTACTTGACGCATCATAATAATGATGATAAATAAAATTAAATACTTATTAAAAATAAATAAGAAAAATACAGTCAATAAAATATTTTTTAGCTATGAACTTTGAAATATTTATGTTGGCAGGCATTTCCAAAATGAAGTAAGAAGTATATACATGGATCCTAGGCCTGTCCCATCCAAAGTCATGCAAGTTCAATTTTGGAGAGGGTTGGTTTTTTTTTGTTTTTTTTTTTTTTTTGGCGCTATAGGGCACATGCACTCGCCAGAAAGACAGACAGAGAGAGAGACAGAAAGTGAGAAATCACCCCCCGGGGGGATAGCCATGCCGCAATCCCTTCTCCTCCATTCTCCTCTCAGGATCTTGGGCACGCACACACGTGTGCCCTGTGTAGGTTTAAGCCACCAGGTCCAGGACTTGAACCACGGTCAGCTACATGAGAGTTCAGTGACACAGCCATCACACTAACTGATGGTCCCATACAAGTTAAATTTTAACTACTGTAAGAACCTAGGTTCCTAACTCTTCTTTCTGTTCTCAAAGGAACAATTTCCAGGCTGAGCGCGATGGCACAAGCAGTAGGGACACTGCTGCATGATGCTGGAAGGCCACATGGGAAGGTTCCAGGTTTGCCTTCCTGGTCTGCCTGCACTCCGGGTACAGCTGTGACCACGGCCAGCTGCTAGGTTAGGGAGGATCACAGCACAGGCCCTGGTCAAGGGTGCTGGCCTGTCTGTCATATGAAGGAAATAAACTTTAAATAAATGTTGGTTTCCATAGGCCCATGAATTAACCACTAGCTTATAAATTTGAGTGAAAGCCAGATACCACGCATTACTGTCTCCTACAAGTTTATCAGCTGTTCTACTAACTCCATCCTGGTGTGTCACCCACAGGGATCCTGGGTGCTGAAATACATGAAAATTACATTTTATACAGTACTTTTTGCACGATAATGTTTTGACTGCGACCTGTCACATGAGGTCAGGCGTGGAATTTCTCACTAGTGGCATCACAGAAAGTGTCAGATTTTGAACCATTTCAAATGAGGAAAGTGCACCCGGAGCTGGTGAATGCTACGACGCAGATGATCATCAGAAATGCGATGCTAAGTCAGAGGAGCCAGACGCAGGACGGACGTGCGTGAGTTACATGTGTGGTACCAGCACGGCAAATCCAGATGGAGCGTGGGCCTGAGGTTGGAGCGTGGGCCTGAGGTCGCCAGAAGCCAGGGGAGGGGTAGGAAGCAACTGCTTAATGGGTATGGGGTTTCCTTTTGGAGTGATGAAAGTGTTCTAGAACTAGAAAGAAGGGGTAGTTGTACAACATTGTGAATACAGTAAATGCCAAGGATTTGTTCACTTTAAAAATGGTTAATTTTGGGCCAGCAGTTAGCATAATGGCTATGTCGCTGGACTCCCACATAGTCGACCGTGGTTCGAGTCCTGGACCGGGTGGCTTAAAACTCACGCCAGGTGCGTGTGCATGCGTGCCCAAGATCCCGAGAAGAGAATGGAGGAGAAGGGATTGTGGCCTGACTATCCCCCCTGGGGGGTGATTTCTCGCTTTCTGTCTCTCTGTCTCTGTCTGGCGAGCGCACGCACCCTATAGTGAAAACCTCTCCAAAAAAATAAAAGGTTAATTTATATTCTGTCAGCTGTGCTTTAATTTTTTTTAAATGAGGAACAAGTCATGTTCTTTTTGGGATATTAAATACCAATACTGATAAAACCTAAGATTCAGTGAAATACGGGGCCAGTAAGGTGGCATGGTGGTTAAGTTGGCTGAGTCTCACGCGGGCAACTACGCAGTTTGAGTCCCTGACCCAGAGGCCTAAAAAACACATGGGCATGTGTGCAATTCTCTTTCCCCTCTTTCTCGCTTGGTGAGTGCACATGCCCTACAGCAAAAACGAAGATTCACTGACAAACCTAAAGATATTTCCCAATGCCATGTAACATTCTAATAGCTCACTTGATCTTACTGACTCTCATTCTTCAATGATAAAATGTAGATATTTACCCTGTCCACCACAGAATTACACAGAATCAAAAGAAAGTTTAAAAAGTGATTCTAAAAAGCCTTAACATAATATATGGACAAATAATGCTTGCTTTATTATTATGAATGCATTTTTACACATGGTCTCAGCTATGGAAAAGAATTCCTAAAGATTCAGCAACTACTGAAAACAGACTTTGCAACTACTGGGTTGTGGGAGTTTTTCTATGCAAAAATGCGTCGTGTTTTCCGACAACTCAGTAAATCACTGAACCTCTGGGTGGGTACTGAAAGTCGTCGCAGGATCAGTGTCCAGGAAAGGTCACCACTCACAGTCTTCCTTTACAATGTGACCAGCTCTGCTCCAACACGTCAGCAACTTATGATCCCTGTTCTCGATCATTAAGAAAGTAACGTGATTCAAATGGCCTTTTCTGTTCCTATCTTTTGTCTGAAATGCAACAACCTACTTAAAGTAAGTGCATGAAAGAGAGAAAAGTCTCTCCTGAGCTCATCAGTGAGGCCTGTCAGCAGAAGCTTCGGTGTCTGCTGTAGATGCAGAACCAGGGTCTGGTGGGGATCCTTCTTTCATTCTAAACTCTCTCTCTTTGAAATTTACACGCGAGGTATGGAGCCCTGAAATAGATCCCTTTGCTCAGCGGGAATCACACATGCAAGTGCCTTAGCTCAAGAAGAGTGACTGCTAAGGGCTTACAAAAGCACACACGTAGTCCTTCTTACTCAAAATGCCCCTTCCCGTTCTGCCAACTCTCTCACATCTAATAAAGAGGTAACAATCAGCCACAGGAGAACCCTCTTGGCGGACAGCACTTCCTCCCTTGGTAACACCCCAACTCACCGCGAAGATTTTTAGTAAAGTTTTCATGTAGAGCTTTCGGATACCAAAGGAGACTCCAAAAATGGCTGGGACTATGATGAAAACGAGAAGGAGAGTGAAGAGGACAGTCAGGGAGATGCCCAGGAGGTTGACAATCAGGCTATCAAAAGGCAGCAGCAGGAACATGGTGGGGGATCCAGGCAAGGCCAGCGCCCTTCTCTCCAAGAACAAACACGGCCTTCAGATGGTCCTTTCCGACAGCACCAGCCTGGGAAAGGAAGCAAGTGCCCAAAGGACAGCAAACGCCATTCCAGAGTTCACAGCAGCAGTGGCCTTCACGGAAGACTTGGAGTAGAATGAGAGTAGAACCGAGCCCTGGGAGGCAGCCCCCAGGCAGCGTCCCCCCAGGGAAGATGAGCTCTGGAGGCTGGCGAGGCAGCGGGTGTCGTCAGCACAGCATCTGAGTCCAGGCCAGGCTCCTGCGTAAAGTGAGCAGCGAGGGAGGGGTCTCTGCTCTGCTGTCCTCCCGCTGCTTCCTGAGCTTTGACTTGCTGCTCCTGCCCAAGAGCATTTAGTAGATAAATCTGTTCTGCAGATGTGCCGTTGCCAGAAGTACCAAGAAGAGTTCAACTTGGTGCCAGAAAAGTCCTGATAACTCCTGTGGAGGGGGTGATGCTGGCACTTTGCACGGAAAGCTTCTGAACTTGGGTATTTGGAAATTAAATAAGGGTTTTACTTAAAGCTCCTTCATAAGCTGCAAATCGTGTTCACTGTAGAGAGTTCGTATCCGGCCCCATTCTCCCTCTAGAGAGGCTCCAGGCGCTCACTGCTCCCCGGACCCTCCTACCTGGAGAGCCACAGTCTTCGCCAGCAGGACCCAGACGCCGGCACAGGGTGTCGCATGCTGCCCGCGGTGAGTGTAATTCCAGACGCATCTGGCATTGGCTTCTTCTGGAGAGTCTTTTCCCTAAGGCCCCCTTCTCAGCGGTGACCTGGGCTCCTGGCAAAAGCTTGCTTACATGCTGCCAAAGCTGGGGGTGAAAACAGAAACACCATCAGTCACACAAATCAAGAGGAGAACGTCAATATGCTTTGTGTGTTGGGGGTTGGGGGTGGCTGTCTGGGGCAAGCCAACCACCAGTGCCAGCCTCTCAAATCGTCAAGGTCAGAGGAACCAGGCACAGCCGCAGGTGGCAGGCATGATGTGGGAGGAAAACTCAGATGTTTACGTAGTTTTCAACTCCAGTGATATGATCTGGGATCACAGGAACGTTCTGAATAGAAAACCTATGTACTGTGGGCCACATTTCAAAATAGAAAAAGGGTATACACGAGGCTAAGTGAATCTTCCACCCACCTGTCCCCCAGCTCCCGAGTTCAATGCGACCGCATTACGAGCAAGCTCGTGTTCTCAAGACGGTCTGTGCTGACACGAGGAATGAGGAACTTGTGACAACCGTAACAATGATGCGGGCACGCGCACACTGCTGCCGGCCCGGCTTTTTACTGGCTTTTGGGTAAATGTCTCTTGGATTGTTCCGTCAGCACAGAGAGCTCCCTCACTTTTTGCAGGCACATAGTTTTCACCTCCAAGAATGTAAAGCGTTCATTAACTAGTCTCCTAAGGCTAGACACTGGTATTTCCACTCTCCTGTAGCTGTAAACGATGCTGTAAGGAATAACCATGTGCATGCATGATTCCGGACACGAAATGCACGTGGCAAATACACTTTCAGGATGAATCCCTAGAAACGGGAATTGTGGGGACAAGAAAATAGACACTCTTAGTTTTGAAAGATACAGTTCCATCTTCTTACATAGACGTTAAACCCCCCTCGCTGATCTCCCCACGCTGGCTATTCATTTATAATTTCTACTATCTCAAATATCTCATGAATTATCCCAACTTTATATTATGCATGCTAAATCATGTTATCAATATAAATCCTGAACTCGGGGGCAAGCTATCAACTCTCTGGCAAAACATTTTGGCTTTAGCCAATCACCTCTGGCTCTGTTCTATTACATTCGGAGCTCAGGAAACTGATAGATGAATGGGTGCTGGCTTCACCTTAAATTCCGCCCAATGCTTTACAGAGTGTACTTTACGTGTCTCTCTGGTTATCCCATCCCCGTCAGCACAGGCCAGGAAACTACGAGGCAGGCACAGCCCCTGTCCTAAACTGTTCCCACATTCCCACACATCTAGGGACCGAACGCTCAACAAGGACGTGCCATTTCCGTGACTCTGAGTCACAAGTACTAGTTCCCATTTCTGACCCATTTCGCCCCACCGTCAACTTCTCCTGAATGCTTTCAAGGTGACAGGCACTGAGCCTCGCTCAGTTCTCATAACGCCTGTGGCAGCTGTGGTCACTGTCACTGCCACTTAGGCTCAGAAGAGTAGACAAAGCCCAGGTCACACAGCTGCGCTCAGAGGTGGAGAGGAACAGTGAGTCCATCTCGCGTCGGGCTCTGAACCACCTCACCCCTTCCTGTCTCCCAAACTACCCTGAAATAAACGGGCACTTTCTTCGTGCCAGGCCTGCTAGAGAACTTCTTGTGAGTAAGAATACCCACGAGGCAAGTCCGGAGCCACGAGTCACAAGTTGGTGTTCTTCTCGGAATCCAAGGTACAGACCTGCCCGCTCACTTTCATAACTGTCCTGCCAGATCTCCAACTATGTTCCAAAGAGGCTCAGGGGCCCGAGTCACTGCATCCTTAAACCTGCTCCCAGCCAATGTCCAGGGCCACTCCTCTGTCCCATTTCTCCTGCCATGCCCCTGCCATGCCCTACCAACCCCGGGCCAGGGTCTCTTCGCAGAGAGGCTGCACGAACCCTCTGTCCCACTGGACAAGGAAACCGTGAGTTCCAAGGACCCAAGTTGACCAGGGCTAGGGTCACTCTGACCCTATCCCAGAGTTTAGGTCACTCTTCTTTGGGACACAATCAAGTGACAATTCCCAAGGTTCATCTGGGCTCAAGTTCCCAGAACGCTGAACACATGGAGCAACAGGCTACTTTCCTTGCCTCGCCCAGCGGTTGGCAAGCCACGGCCCACAAGCTGGCTCTGGCCCTGGCCTGTTTTCATAAGGTTCACGAGCTAGGAATGGTCTACCACTTGCAAAGAAATGTAAGAAACAGAGAATAAGCAACGGACCATCGCCTGCAAGGCCTAGCATGTTTCTGTAGTCCTGCCAGAAAGAGCCGCAGACCCAGGCCCCAGCTGAGCCTTTGTCCCCACAGAGGTGGTGACCTCTCCCCTGCTTGTCCCGCTGCCCCGCCTTGAGCTTCTGTTTGTGAGGGCCAGCCTCCAGAACAGGGAACAGTAAACTAGCCAAACGACTTCTCTGGCCAACACCAAACAATCCTCACACAAATTCTTAGAAGTGGAGGAAACAGCGCACAAACTGTGGTCATCGAATACCTTTCCTACCTCTGGCTGGACAAGCAGGGCAGTCATTAAAACCCAAGGTTCCTGGTGTGCTACGGCCCCCTTAACCATACGGACTTTGAGGTCTGGAAGTTCAAAACTGCTCTCATCAAAACTGAATCCGACCCCGATTTCTAGGTAACTGCTCAGTTAGGAGAGGATATTGCTTAGCCTCAAGTAAATACAATCATGACCCCAAGAGCATGAGGTAGGGGAAGCCATTAATTCAAAGGAATATGTACTCATCCCATTAACCTCCAGGTTAATTCCAGACAAACTCACTGAGAAGCATTTGGATCAAAGCTCCCCCAACCACCCAGATGTTCCAGAGAAAATCTGAAGAGCCAACTGTCATAGTTCTGAGTGTTAGGAGAGGCTGGTTTCATCCTAGGGAGGTGACAGAACCCACTGCTAAACTCGTCAACTCCCGACTGGCAAATCGAGACCTGGGGGCTCCCAAATGGCCTCTGTTCTTGAAGTGACCCGTTCACTCATTCACCAACAGTTCCCCGGGACACAGTATGTGCCAGTCACCATGTTAGGTGTTAGATATTAGCAGTGAGCAAATTTGCCCTGAGACAAGCATCAAATAAATAAGCATACGTGGTCGTGACTTTTACATGGTCATGATTTCAAACTGCGATGACTAGTAGCTAGGAAAAGAACAAAGTCCTGGAAAAGGAAATTACAGAGCAAACTCAATTTAACTCAGGGCCTCAAGGTTGGCCTGGAGCCTAGTAGTTGAGGGAGCTGGTCCCACATGGCCAACTGGAATTTGCATGCTGGCCTTGGTAGCTTAAAAAACGCACCAGATGGGTGTGCAAGCATGCTCAAAATTCTGACAGGATGGAAAAATGAGGCAAGGGGAACCAGCAGTTAGCGTAATGGCTATGTCGCTGGACTCCCACGTAGTCGACCGCGGTTCGCGTCCTGGACCCGGTGGCTTAAAACTCACGCCGGGCGCGTGTGCGTGCGTGCCCAAGATCCCGAGAGGAGAATGGAGAAGGGACTGCGGCGTGACCATCCCCCCTGGGGGGTGATTTCTCACTTTCTGTCTCTATGTCTCTGTCTGTCTGGGAGCACACGCGACCTACAGTGAAAAAACCTCTCCAAAAGAAAAAAAAAAAAAAAAGAAAAAGAAAAAGAAAAATGGAGCAAGGATTGTAGTGTGACCATGGCTCACCGGGGTGGGGGGCGGAGTTCTCCCTCTCTCTGGCTAGCACGCAGGCCCTCTGGGAAAAAATATGTTTGGGCGTCTACACCAATTCTAATACCAACTAAGTATTCGCCAGGGAGGATCGTCACTCCTAACTGCAGACTCGTCAGTTCTGGCAGCTCCCTGTGATACATCCTGATTTGGGAGACCGAGACTGCCAGACTATTCGAGAGACACCACACACAAACTCAAAAGGTGAAAGGAATGCCATTTTATTAAAATTAATGCTTAGGGGACCAGCCATGTGGTGTGGTGGTTAAGGCTCTGGACTCCCACATCATTTGACTATGGTTCGAGTCCTGAACCTGGAGGCCTACCGTCTTACTCTCTCTCCCCCTTTCTCCCTTTGTTGCTCTCTCTCTCTAGTCAAATTAAAATATAATAACAACAAATAAAATGAAACAAATAGTTCTTTAAAAAATAAAATAAATGCTTAGACCACATAGTGATAAATGCACTTCTGAAACACACCAAGCACACCATCTGTTACATATCAGATCTTAATCAATGGTGCATACTATCGTTTCAGAGTCAGAAGAAATCCAAAGTACTGTCTTCCATTCTAGGTACTAAACTTTCAGAAAGTCTAAAGAAGCATTTTAACATATGAGACAAAACCCACAAGCCAAAAAGTACTCCACACCCAGCAAGCAGTAGCTGTTCAATAAAAGGATAGCTATAAGATAGAAATTCAAATGAAAGCTGCAGGTGAGATGGAAAATAATCCATAAATAGATAAACCACTGCACTGGTAAGAGTGAGGAAAAAACCTCCAAATACTGCAACAGGGATGTAAAATGGTACCTCTATAAAGAATAATGGAGGGACCAGCAGTGGGCATAATGGCTATGTCACTGGACTCCCATGTGGTTGACCGCAGTTTGAGTCCTGGACCCGGTGGCTTAAAGTCACGCTGGGGCATGTGCGTGTGTGCCCAAGATCCCGAGAGGAGAATGGAGGAGAAGGGATTGAGGTGTGGCCATCCTCCCTAGGGGGTGATTTCTTGCTTTCTGTCTCTCTGTCTCTCTCTGTCTTTCTGGTGAGCGTACACACCCTACTTTTTTGGGGAGGGGACACCCCCTTAAAAAAAAAAAAAAAAAAAAAAAAAAAAGAATAATGGAGCTTACAGGTGAATCAGAGTAATTCTCCCCAGGGATTGTTTTTGACACCTTTGGGGAACACCTGGCAATGTGTGCAGATATTTTTGGTTGTCACAACTAGATGCTACTGACATCTAGCCAGATAGGGCAGGGCCCTGGGTAGCCCTCGTGACAAAGAATGACCCAGCCCAAATGTCAGTAGCGTCAGGAGTCCTGAGCTGGGAAACAATGTTAAGTATGTGCAGAGTGGTACTATGTGCTGGGTTGACTGCCACAGGCTTAGATTATTTTTTTAAAAAAAGTCAGTAGAGGCCAGGGCAGAATGCTACTCATCTGTTTAAAAAAAAGAACATCTGGGAACAGCAGATGGCATAATGTTTGTGTGGCTGAACTCCTATGCAGGCAATCAAGTTCGAGTCCCAGACCTGGCAGCTTAAAACTCACACCAGGTTGCGTGTGCATGCATGTCCAAAATCCCAAGGAGAATGGAGGAGAGGGGACTGTGGCCTGGCCATCCCCCCGGAGGTGATTTTCTGCTTTCTGTCTCTCTCTGGTGAGTGTATGTGCCCTACAGCAAAAATCTCTCTAAAAAATAGAAACATCTACACATACACTGACAGGAAGCAATCTAACTATTCAACAGATACAGAACAATATCCACAATTCAAGAGGACTTCAAAAAGATCTTGAAGAAATGGAATTAAAGTAAGAGTTTGTTTTGGTACAAAAAGACTCTGAAATCCACGCATAGTTTTTTGTTTTTGTTTTTTATAATACGTATTTTCCTCGAACATGTTTTTGAAGTCTGTTTACTCATTTCTTCCACGAGGACATGTGAGAGTGAGTTAGAGTGAGGGAAACAGATGGCACTGCCAACAGGGTCTTGATGCCATGACCTACGCCCACTCAGTCTCAGCTCAGCTACACAGGACATCTCTGGCCTTGAACCTTGAACCTTCAACCTTCTCATGTGG